CCGGTACTCCGATTGTTGGGGGAAACGTACTGTGAAGACCGGTACTCCGATTGTTGGGGAAACGTACTGTGAAGACCGGTACTCGATTGTTGGGGAAACGTACTGTGAAGACCGGTACTCCGATTGTTGGGGAAACGTACTGTGAAGACCGGTACTCCGATTGTTGGGGAAACGTACTGTGAAGACTGGTACTCCGATTGTTGGGAGAAACGTACTGTGAAGACCGGTACTCCGATTGTTGGGGAAACGTACTGTGAAGACCGGTACTCCGATTGTTGGGGAAACGTACTGTGAAGGCCGGTACCGATTGTTGGGGAAACGTACTGTGAAGACCGGTACTCCGATTGTTGGAAACGTACTGTGAAGACCGGTACTCCGATTGTTGGGAGAAACGTACTGTAAATACCGGTACTCGATTGTTGGGGAAACGTACTGTGAAGACCGGTAATCCGATTGTTGGGCGAAACGTACTGTGAAGACCGGTAATCCGATTGTTGGGGAAACGTACTGTGAAGACCGGTACTCCGATTGTTGGGGGAAACGTACTGTGAAGACCGGTACTCCGATTGTTGGGAGAAACGTACTGTGAAGACCGGTACTCCGATTGTTGGGAGAAACGTACTGTGAAGACCGGTACTCCGATTGTTGGGGGAAACGTACTGTGAAGACCGGTACTCCGATTGTTGGGGGAAACGTACTGTGAAGACCGGTACTCCGATTGGCTGAAACTGGTTGATGTTCCGCATACTTAAGTTCATTATTTTATATAAAGCTTGGAGTGTAAAAAAATGACCTCAAAAGCTGGTGATACAGAGTATATGCATCCGTTCACGTAGAAATATCGTCGATTGTTAACGGATGTTTTTTTTCTACCGTCAACTTACTCTTTGCTTAATCAGACGTAAAGAAAATATCTTACACGAAGGTTTAGAAAAATCAAATATAGGATCAGTATTACCTTTCGTAATATTTCACCATTTCAGTAACATTATTGCAACACATGTTCTACCTGGGATGGCACTGTCTCAGTAAAGTACGGAGTCACCTAATCGCCGGCGCACACAGTCAGCGATGTTACCCACTCCGACACCACATAAATCGAAGCTTGACGACTGTCAGATATTTCTGTTTTTGTAGTTCCTGTTTAGTTTAATTACGTCATGGCCATAGTGCTGGAACCATTGTTGAGGAATGTCTTGAAAGAGGCTTTATGATTTCAAAGTGTCTCCATGGAAAGGATACCGACTGCTTCCTTGTCAGAAGTATTAAATGTTTAATTAACGCTGATCGTGATCTCTGATGCCGTTCTAAACATGACAAACCAAGATTTATATGAAGTGAACTTATAAGACAAGGGTTTCATTTTCACTAGTCTGCTAGCCATATCTGCTATTTTGCTGCAATCTACATAATGGTAATGGTGATGTTAAACTCAACTAGAACCCGCAGAGAGGCTATAATGAAACTTTGAAAGTAAGCTGACCACCCACGTTGGGCATCCTGACTATAAGGGGCTGGGACCAGACCACCCACGTTGGGCATCCTGACTATAAGAGGCTGGGACCAGACCACCCACGTTGGGCATCCTGACTATAAGGGGCTGGAACCAGACCACCCACGTTGGGCATCCTGACTATAAGGGGCTGGGACCAGACCACCCACGTTGGGCATCCTGACTATAAGGGGCTGGGACCAGACCACCCACGTTGGGCATCCTGACTATAAGGGGCTGGGACCAGACCACCCACGTTGGGCATCCTGACTATAAGAGGCTGGGACCAGACCACCCACGTTGGGCATCCTGACTATAAGGGGCTGGGACCAGACCACCCACGTTGGGCATCCTGACTATAAGGGGCTGGGACCAGACCACCCACGTTGGGCATCCTGACAGGGGCTGGGACCAGACCCCACGTTGGGCATCCTGACTATAAGGGGCTGGGACCAGACCACCCACGTTGGGCATCCTGACTATAAGGGGCTGGGACCAGACCACCCACGTTGGGCATCCTGACTATAAGGGGCTGGGACCAGACCACCCACGTTGGGCATCCTGACTATAAGGGGCTGGGACCAGACCACCCACGTCGGGCATCCTGACTATAAGGGCTGGGACCAGACTATTGAAACCAAGAGAAACATTAGCCACAACGGAGATTACGTTGATGTAGTAGTACCGCAAATTAGATTGAGTGTCTGAACTAGAGCTAAGACTTGGGACATGAAATATAAACTGCCGGACAAAAGAAAGTTATCACTTTTAACGTAATTGTATAGAAAACAAAAACGCTAGTACAGGTTTGAACCCATGCAAAACACATTCGCCTAAACGCAACATGGTCCGCAACTGTCCGAAAACTTTGTACAAATCGTTCATTTTTCAAAACGTGAAAAACTGAGGTGTTGGACCATGGTCCAAATGCACGTGTATGATTGTTGGATGAATACCAATGTTGGTCGGAGCAAGCATGCCGTAGTAAAAAATAACCCACCACGAATATGCCAAGACGTACGCAAGCGCAAAGACACAATGCTAATGGTATGACCAATATGGGGGCTTCACAACCTCAGCTGGCAAGAACCTGGCCACCGTCAGCAAATTGATAAACCGATACCAGCAAACAGGCCAGACCCAAGACTGCCCAAGATCGGGAAGACCAAGAGTCATCACACCGGCCTCGGACAACGCGTTCTCCAGACATGAACCCCATTGAACATCTCTGAGATCATCTTGATCGTCAGCTTAGACAGCGTGTACCACCTCCAGCGAACCGACAGGAACGTGAACAGACTCTCTTTGACTTAGGAAACAACTGGGCCTAGATTTTCGAAGCTCTCTAAGCGCTAAGATAGTCGTAAATTAATGTTAATGTATGGCACTTACGACTATCTTAGCGCTAAGAGAGCTTCGAAAATCTAGGCCCAGGATTCCTGCTGACGTCATCCGCCGACTGATGACGTGAATGAGACGACATGTGTTGGCATGTATGGATGCCCAGGGTCGTCACACTCGTTACTGATGACGTGTCCCCCAACTCCTGTACGTCTCAAAATTTGACTCTTTATGCTATTTTGAATGAACTCTGATTTGTATTATTTTTAAGCATTACAATGAATTTTCAGTCAAATTATTCGAAAATGATTTATGTTTGTAGAATAATTATCATAAATGTTTGTTTCGATTTTTTGTCAAGTTAAGTTGACAGTTTAGTTGACGGGAGTGAGTGAGGTTAGTTTTACGCCGCACTCAGCAATAGTCCAGCTATATGGCGGCGGTCTGTAAATAATCGAGTCTGGACCAGACAATCCAGTGATCAACATCATGACCATCGATCTGCGCAATTGGGAACCGATGACATGTGTCAACCAAGTGAGCGAGCCTGATCACCCGATCCCGTTAGTCGCCTCTTACGACAAGCATGGGTTGCTGAAGGCCAATATTCTAACCCGGACCTTCACGGGTGCGATAGTTTAGTTGAAATAAAATACGCTTGAACATATATACATAATCACATACACACTGCTAACATTGAGGAGGATAGTCAACTATAACGCTGCGTGGATCGTCAACTATAACGCTGCGTGACACCACTATAACGCTGCGTGGGTAATAAACTATAACGCTGCGTGGATCGTCAACTATAACGCTGCTTGGGTAATCAACTATAACGCTGCGTGGATAGTCAACTATAACGCTGCGTGGATCGTCAACTATATAACGCTGCGTGGGTTTTAAACTATAACGTTGCGACACCACTATAACGCTGCGTGACACCACTAAAACGCTGCGTGAATGACACCACTATAACGCTGCGTGGGTAATAAACTATAACGCTGCGTGGATCGTCAACTATAACGCTGCTTGGGTAATCAACTATAACGCTGCGTGGATAGTCAACTATAACGCTGCGTGGATCGTCAACTATATAACGCTGCGTGGGTTTTAAACTATAACGTTGCGTGACACCACTATAACGCTGCGTGACACCACTATAACGCTGCATGACACCACTATAACGCTGCGTGGATCGTCAACTATAACGCTGCGTGACACCACTATAACGCTGTTTGGGTAATCAACGAAAACGCAGCGTGTTGAACTGTCGTACTTTCATAAATAACAAGTTGAGAAATGGAAAATATCCAAATGAAAACGAAATCAGCTTTCTGCAAAATTCCAGCCATATTAGGGCGAGGCACTACAAATTGTAGAAAATGTCCTTTATACCTTGCATCCATTGGTGAATCGAACCCCGGCATTCGATGCTATTAGGGATCGCTTTACCACTATCCCCACTAACACTTCATGGAAACAAGAATGTTTATCCTATATATAAAACCTAGGCTAGAACTCTGCAAACTATGGGTGAGTGAGTGAGTTTTAGTTTCACGCCGCTTTTAGCAATATTCTAGCAATATCACGGCTGGTGACACCAAAAATTGGCTTCTCACATTGTACCCATGTGGGGAATCGAACCCGGATCTTCGGCGTGACAAGCGAACGCTTTAACCACTAGGCTACCCCACCGCCTTCTGCAACTATGACGTTAAAAGGAAAACAAAATACCCTCACTTCCACTATATCTTGTCATCAAATATTGTCGTAAGAGGCGACTATAATTAGGGATCGGGTGGTCAGGCTCGCTGACTTGCTTGAAACATGTCAATTTATCAATTGTGTAGATCGATGCTTATGCTGTTGATCACTGGATTTTCTGGACCAGACTCGATTATTTACAGGCCGGCGCCATGTCTTGTTATCAAATAATAAACACATATGTCCCTTGCATTTTGTGGAACAAAAATAATTGGTTTCACATTTACCATGTGTCTATGCAACTTTCATGTTTATTTCGTCACTGAATTACCGAAAGCCATTGCATCATTCACCCATGCATACCTCCATATATTGATGTTGATGCAATGATTGGAGGTGTGTCTGGTTTTAACCAATCAGCACACAGCATGTGTTGCTCCGTCAACAAGTCTTGTGTATAGCGTATTCCTTTAAAGCCAACATCACTCTCACATTATAGTGATTCAGCCCGCCACTTCGTGTTTCTCACTGCACAGACAAACATTTGAGTGTCACCCTGTAAAATAACTATCTGTGATTTCGACTGACATATACTGATTCACAAACCACAGAAGTACTTCAGCACCAGCGATATCGTTGTAGTTTGTCTTATTTGAAACTGACCATTACCGGAAGTTGTTATTACGGAAAAGATGGCGGCCACGCGAGACACGTCTATCATCTGTGTGTTCGATGTCGATGGCACTCTCACTATGCCTCGACTTGTAAGTATGAAATGTCACGACTTTTCGTCTCATGTTTTGGAGTTATAAACTGTTGAACAATGAAATGTTTTGTTCTTAAAGTACTAGCTTCCTATATTCAGTGATGACAGGTGCCCGTTCAGAGAGCCGGTAAACTTCTTACAGTAACAGAGAATATAGGGTTCGGATGTGATGCAATGCGTCTCTGGGCACTTTGTCAGAGTTCACTGAAACTCACTGTTGACTGTAAATTTTTCAACATATAAATAATTTTTTCATTTAATTGATATTACGAACCGTTTCTTTATTGAGTATCGACAAACTTTACAACAGATTAAATTACAAGATTTTATTGAATGAATGATCTTACCATTCATTGACAATCTACCAAAAAAGAAGTTTAGAAGGAAAAATGTATCAATAAAAAAGTATGTCACTTTTTTACCAGTGCATCATTGAATTGCAAATTCACATCTGACAGTATTATATTCAGTTTTCCAACCTATAATTAGTCTGAAAATTAACATTTAAATTTGAAAGGAGATACAGAGGCATTTTCTGTGGAAAATGTAGATTTAATTCATTTAGGGTTATGGTATTACAATGAGTTTGTGAAGTTTTGAAATTAACAGGAATGTTAAATACGCATTTTAGCTTCACCATACCTAGCCGAGAGCCGCGATGCGGTCCTATACAGTCAAGACATGACTTGACTGTATAGGACCGCATCACCGCTCTCGGCTAGGCTACACCATACCATGCAACGTACAACAGCACAAAAAATGTCACATAACCTCTGGTAAAGCATGTCTCATGGAACATATGGCCATTTTCACTATTAAACCAACATGAAAATGTTTGAGTGTACTTTGTATAAGGTTAGCTTTCCTTTGGTTCATTTACAGTAGAGTTTGATAGTTTGTTTTACATATCCTATCTATTTCATTTCATATACCAGAACTACATGTCACTGTAAAACAGAGAGTGTTTTTTGCCAGAATAGAGCTGTTCATAACATGTTACCTGCACCCTTTGTATTAGGATCATTAGTTGTATGTTTTGTTACAACATGGAGATGTAAAGTTAAATAATCTGTGCCCAGGAACAATTTGTGTGTGTATTGTGTGCAATATTTTCCATCTAGTTTAAATGTACTTTATTTTATTTGTAATTGTAGAAAATCACTGAAGAAATGGATGCATTTATGGAGAAGCTGAAAACCAAGGTTGTTGTTGGCCTGGTGGGAGGATCTGACTTGCCCAAGATAACAGAACAGATGGGCGGGTCAGCTGATGGTGAGTTACGCGTGCTGGTCTCAGTCCCAGTCTGATGTCTGTATCCAGGCCTGACCTTGACACTGTATCAGTCCGAGTCTGATGTCTGTATCCAGGCCAGATCTTGACACTGTATCAGTCCCAGTCTGATGTCTGTATCCAGGCCAGACCTTGACACTGTATCAGTCCCAGTCTGATGTCTGTATCCAGGTCAGACCTTGACACTGTATCAGTCCCAGTCTGATGTCTGTATCCAGGCCAGATCTTGACACTGTATCAGTCCCAGTCTGATGTCTGTATCCAGGCCAGACCTTGACACTGTATCAGTCCCAGTCTGATGTCTGTATCCAGGCCAGACCTTGACACTGCATCAGTCCCAGTCTGATGTCTGTATCCAGGCCAGATCTTGACACTGTATCAGTCCCAGTCTGATGTCTGTATCCAGGCCAGATCTTGACACTGTATCAGTCCCAGTCTGATGTCTGTATCCAGGCCAGACCTTGACACTGTATCAGTCCAAGTCTGATGTCTGTATCCAGGCCAGACCTTGACACTGTATCAGTCCCAGTCTGATGTCTGTATCCAGGCCAGATCTTGACACTGTATCAGTCCCAGTCTGATGTCTGTATCCAGGCCAGACCTTGACACTGTATCAGTCCCAGTCTGATGTTTGTATCCAGGCCAGACCTTGACACTGCATCAGTCCCAGTCTGATGTCTGTATCCAGGCCAGATCTTGACACTGTATCAGTCCCAGTCTGATGTCTGTATCCAGGCCAGATCTTGACACTGTATCAGTCCCAGTCTGATGTCTGTATCCAGGTCAGATCTTGACACTGTATCAGTCCCAGTCTGATGTCTGTATCCAGGTCAGATCTTGACACTGTATCAGTCCCAGTCTGATGTCTGTATCCAGGCCAGACCTTGACACTGTATCAGTCCCAGTCTGATGTCTGTATCCAGGCCAGACCTTGACACTGTATCATTCCAAGTCTGATGTCTGTATCCAGGTCAGATCTTGACACTGTATCAGTCCCAGAGTGATGTCTGTATCCAGGCCAGATCTGATGTCTGTATCCAGGCCAGACCTTGAAAATGTATCAATCCAAGTCTGATGTCTGTATCCAGGCCAGACCTTGACACTGTATCAGTCCAAGTCTGATGTCTGTATCCAGGCCAGACCTTGACACTGTATCTGTCCCAGTCTGATGTCTGTATCCAGGTTAGATCTTGACACTGTATCAGTCCCAGTCTGATGTCTGTATCCAGGTCAGATCTTGACACTGTATCAGTCCAAGTCTGATGTCTGTATCCAGGCCAGACCTTGACACTGTATCAGTCCCAGTCTGATGTCTGTATCCAGGCCAGACCTTGACACTGTATCATTCCCAGTCTGATGTTTGTATCCAGGTCAGATCTTGACACTGTATCAGTCCCAGAGTGATGTCTGTATCCAGGCCAGATCTGATGTCTGTATCCAGGCCAAACCTTGACTCTGTATCATTTCAAATCTGATGTCTGTATCCAGGCCAGACCTTGACACTGTATCAATCCCAGTCTGATGTCTGTATCCAGGCCAGATCTTGACACTGTATCAGTCCCAGTCTGATGTCTGTATCCTGGCCAGACCATGACACTGTATCAGTCCTAGTCTGATGTCTGTATCCAGGCCAGACCTTGACACTGTATCAGTCCAAGTCTGATGTCTGTATCCTGGCCAGACCATGACACTGTATCAGTCCAAGTCTGATGTCTGTATCCAGGCCAGACCTTGACACTGTATCAGTCCAAGTCTGATGTCTGTATCCAGGCCAGACCTTGACACTGTATCAGTCCCAGTCTGATGTCTGTATCCAGGCCAGATCTTGACACTGTATCAATCCCAGTCTGATGTCTGTATCCAGGCCAGATCTTGACACTGTATCAGTCCAAGTCTGATGTCTGTATCCAGGCCAGACCTTGACACTGTATCAGTCCAAGTCTGATGTCTGTATCCAGGCCAGACCTTGACACTGTATCAGTCCAAGTCTGATGTCTGTATCCAGGCCAGACCTTGACACTGTATCAGTCCCAGTCTGATGTCTGTATCCAGGCCAGACCTTGACACTGTATCAGTCCAAGTCTGATGTCTGTATCCAGGCCAGACCTTGACACTGTATCAGTCCCAGTCTGATGTCTGTATCCAGGCCAGATCTTGACACTGTATCAGTCCCAGTCTGATGTCTGTATCCAGGCCAGATCTTGACACTGTATCAGTCCAAGTCTGATGTCTGTATCCAGGTCAGATCTTGACACTGTATCTGTCCAAGTCTGGTGTCTGTATCCAGGCCAGACCTTGACACTGTATCATGTGATAGCCAACCATGTATGGCATATCTACATACCTATATCACTCACAATAATGATTATCAACAGTGAGTTGTGCAGTGAGTTGGTGCAGGTTCTCTTGCCTCCATGGTCTGATAATGTCTCTTGTAAGAGTATTAATAGGAAGCTTGCATTCTTTGGGCATAGTAAGGTTTATTATCCCGGATGGACGGACGAGGAATTACATGCTGGGGAATATAGTCGTCGCCTCGTCCATCCATCCGTCCGTAATCATTTTGTTTCCGGAGCATAACTCCAAGACCGTTCGAAAGCTTCTTAATATCTTCAAAAACTTGGCAGATATGTTAGGCAGATCTTGAAGTGGTGCCTTTTGCTATGTGCAGATTTTTGTCATTTATGGTTTTCATGATTTCCATGGAAACGATTTGCACTAAGTCTAAAATCAAGCAGGACTTTAAGTATCTTTCAGATGATTTGTTCTTTCAAAGATGTGGGGGCCGGGGGGATATGTCATCTTCTGATGACTCTTGTTAATGCATTTCGTTATGTAAGGCTTGCCAGAATTTGAATTCTATCCTGGTATGACTGTTTAGTGATTGTCAACAGGCCACCCTTGTTGCCAGTATATATAACCATGTTAACCATGTGGATGTTATCTGGTTCCCCATGCCCATATTGCTCAAATTACTGGTCACTTATGTTCCATTTGGGAAGACATGTGCCTTGTACTTATGTCGATGTGAATGTGTTTCAGTGATCAAGAAGTTTGACTACCTCTTTGCTGAGAATGGTTTAGTTGCCTTTAAGAATGGAGATGAGATTGGGCAAGAGGTGGAGTAACTTTTGTTTTGTTTTAAATGATAAACTGTTTTCTAATAGATTACTTCAGCCTCTTAAAGATTTCTAAAGGAGATATTGACATATTGTTCGGGTACATGAACCCTTGAAGATCCGGGTTAGAATTGTCTTCAGCAACAAATCCTTATCTAAGAGGCATCTGATGGGATCAGGTGGTCAGGCTTGCTGACTTGGTTGACACATGTCATCATATCCCAGTTGTGTAGGTCAATGCTCATACTGTTGATCACTGGATTGTCTGGTCCAGACTCAGTTATTTACAGACCAACATCATATAGCTGGACTATTGCTGATTGCAGCGTTAAACAACAAACAAACAAACAAAAAATAAACAGAAACATTTAAATGGAAACTAGTCTTTTATGGGACTAAATGACTCGTTGATGTGATTGTCTCTTAATGTCCACCCCATAAGCAGGATGCTCAGTGTATTGTTGACCAGTTTGTAGTGTGTCCACCGATTGGTTTAACATCGCACTACATGTCACAATACACAAGCTGATGTTTGTCGTCTCTCATCGTGTGTGTAATCCAAACAATAATCTCTTTCAGGACATTCAAAAAGCAGTTGGAGATGAAAAGTTACAAAAGCTCATTAACTTCGCTCTACGATACATGTCCGATCTTGTATTGCCATGTAAAAGGTAATTGATACTGTTATCTCCATCAAGGATGGTTGGCAGTGGAAATGTCTTCAGCCGGGTCTCCTTACTTACCTCACTTTCATATAGTCATGCTCAGTCAGTGGTTTCTTTGGACTTGATAATTTAGGGTTATCTGGCACATGCTTCAAAATCTGGTCGGAATACATATACTTATAACGAACTAAAATTAGTGATCCCTTTGTGTTCCTTATACCTAATAGCCATAGTTTACTGTATTTGCAAAATATGACTGCACAATCATTATGTTGCATGTTACATAATTCAAAAGACTTATTGACATTATCTGTACATACAGATGACAACAGATCCTTGCACAGGTTAGATGACTGTTGCAGTGTGCGAAATAGCCACTAGCCTGCTAGCCCATGGCTAGTAAAAATCCAGTCGGGCCAGTAAATCTCCACAGTCACTGGCCCGACTGGCTTGTGAATTTTCATGGGGTCATTTTGTAAATATATCTCTCTCTCCGATTTGTTAAGTTATAATACACTTTTAAATCATGCAAGATTATGGCCTGATAAAAATGATGAAATCTGTGTCTTGCCGGCAATATCTCGTCTATATTTGTAGTCTTTTGTTCAGCTTCTGCATTAATTTCAGGTTAGTGAATAATTTTGTGGGCTAGTAACTTTCAGGCATAGCTAGCCCGACTGGCTAGCAAAATTTTGAAACTATTTCGCTCACTGGACTGTTGTCATAGTGACAGGTGCTGTGAGAGTGGTCACAGTAGGTATATGGAGAGATTACCTGTGCTGCAGCTGGATTTGTACAGTACAGAAATTATTGACCTTTCTCATCTTGCACGATTTACAGGAAGGCAGATGTTTCAGCTAAATGTATTTGGTTGATAGATTAGGTCAGATTAGTAAGGTCATACGGTTTTGTTTGACATGTTTGATGGATTCATTGATTTCAACTTTCATCTTTTTTTTCATTTCACTTACAAAACTCTCTGTTGTATTTGAATATATTTATAATTATTTAGCTTGACATTATGTATTTCCATGGTCCCTAGCATCAAACTAAACTCACACACTCATCCACTGTGTAGTGATATCTTTTTATGGTAATTTACTTACAAGTTTTAAACATAAATCTGTTATACATATCAAATGGATCATACGTATTGTACAGATCATATATACATACTGTACAGATCATACATATTATACAGATCATATATGCATACTGTACAGATCATACATATTATACAGATCATATATACATACTGTACAGATCATACATATTGTACAGATCATATATGCATACTGTACAGATCATACATATTGTACAGATCATATATGCATACTGTACAGATCATACATATTGTACAGATCATATATACATACTGTACAGATCATACATATTGTACAGATCATATGTGCATAGTGTACAGATCATACATATTGTACAGATCATATATAATACATACTGTACAGATCATACATATTATACAGATCATATGTGCATAGTGTACAGATCATACATATTGTACAGATCATATGTGCATAGTGTACAGATCATACATATTGTACAGATCATATATAATACATACTGTACAGATCATACATATTGTACAGATCATATGTGCATAGTGTACAGATCATACATATTGTACAGATCATATATAATACATACTGTACAGATCATACATATTGTACAGATCATATGTGCATACTGTACAGATCATACATATTGTACAGATCATATATACATACTGTACAGATCATACATATTGTACAGATCATATATAATACATACTGTACAGATCATACATATTGTACAGATCATATATACATACTGTACAGATCATACATATTATACAAGATCCTATATATACATATTGTATACATACTGTACAGATCACTGTACAGACATATTATACAGATCATATATGCATACTGTACAGATCCTATATATACATATTATATATACATACAGATCATACATATGTACAGATCATACATACTGTACAGATCATACAGATCAGATCATATATACATACTGTACAGATCATACATATTGTACAGATCATATATACATACTGTACAGATCATACATATTGTACAGATCATATATACATACTGTACAGATCATACATATTATACAGATCATATGTGCATACTGTACAGATCATACATATTGTACAGATCATATATAATACATACTGTACAGATCATACATATTATTGTACAGATCATATATAATACATACATATTGTACAGATCATACATATTGTACAGATCATATATATACATACTGTACAGATCATACATATTGTACAGATCATACATACATACTGTACAGATCATGTATACACATGTGCATTGTACAGATCATATATACAGACATACATATTGTACAGATCATACATATTGTACAGATCATATATACATACTGTACAGATCATACATATTGTACAGATCATATATACATACTGTACAGATCATACATATTGTACAGATCATATATACATACTGTACAGATCATACGTATTGTACAGATCATATATAATACATATTGTACAGATCATATATACATACTGTACAGATCATACATATTGTACAGATCCTATATAATACATATTGTACAGATCCTATATAATACATATTGTACAGATCATACATATTGTACAGATCCTATATAATACATATTGTACAGATCATACATATTGTACAGATCTATATATACATATTGTACAGATCATACATATTGTACAGATCATATATACATACTGTACAGATCCTATATACATACTCTACAGATCATACATATTGTACAGATCATATATACATACTGTACAGATCATACAAATTATACAGATCATATGTGCATACTGTACAGATCATACATATTGTACAGATCATATATAATATATACTGTACAGATCATACATATTATACAGATCATATGTGCATACTGTACAGATCATACATATTGTACAGATCATATATACATACTGTACAGATCATACATATTGTACAGATAATATATACATACTGTACAGATCATATATATTGTACAGATCATATATACATACTGTACAGATCATACGTATTGTACAGATCATATATAATACATATTGTACAGATCATACATATTGTACAGATCATACATATTGTACAGATCATATATACATACTGTACAGATCATACATATTGTACAGATCATATATATACATACTGTACAGATCATACATATTGTACAGATCATATATACATACTGTACAGATCATACATATTGTACAGATCATATATACATACTGTACAGATCATATATACATACTGTACAGATCATCATATGTACATACAGATACAGATCATACATATTGTACAGATCATACATATATACATGCTGTACAGATCATACGTATTGTACAGATCATATATAATACATATTGTACAGATCATATATACATACTGTACAGATCATACATATTGTACAGATCATATATACATACTGTACAGATCATACATATTGTACAGATCATATATACATACTGTACAGATCATACATATTGTACAGATCATATATACATACTGTACAGATCATACATATTGTACAGATCATATATACTGTACATCATATACATATTGTACAGATCATATATATTATACAGATCATATCATATACTGTACAGATCAGATCATACATATTGTACAGATCATATATACATACTGTACAGATCATACATATTATACAGATCATATATGCATACTGTACAGATCATACATATTGTACAGATCATATATACATACTGTACAGATCATACATATTGTACAGATCATATATAATACATATTGTACAGATCATATATACATACTGTACAGATCATACATATTGTACAGATCATATATACATACTGTACAGATCATACATATTGTACAGATCCTATATAATACATATTGTACAGATCATACATATTGTACAGATCATATATAATACATATTGTACAGATCATACGTATTGTACAGATCCTATATACATATTGTACAGATCATACATATTGTACAGATCATATATACATATTGTACAGATCATATATACATACTGTACAGATCATATATATATTGTACAGATCATATATACATACTGTACAGATCATATACATATTGTACAGATCATATATATATTGTACAGATCATACATATTGTACAGATCATATATACATACTGTACAGATCATACATATTGTACAGATCATATATAATACATACTGTACAGATCATACATATTGTACAGATCATATATACATGCTGTACAGATCATACGTATTGTACAGATCATATATAATACATATTGTACAGATCATATATACATACTGTACAGATCATACATATTGTACAGATCATATATACATACTGTACAGATCATACGTATTGTACAGATCCTATATACATACTGTACAGATCATACGTATTGTACAGATCATATATACATACTGTACAGATCATACGTATTGTACAGATCATATATACATACTGTACAGATCATACATATTGTACAGATCATATATACATACTGTAAAGATCATATATACATACTGTAGAGATCATATATACATACTGTACAGATCATACATACTGTACAGATCATATATACATACTGTACAGATCATATATACATACTGTACAGATCATATATACATACTGTACAGATCATATATACATACTGTACAGATCATACATAGACAAATCATACAGATATGGATCATACAATTGTACTGTGACAGTCCTGCCAAATACGTATCCTCCGCCTGCCTTGAGTATGGCTTGTGTAACGAGGGAAGTACTGTAATGGATGTACCTTGTATCTCCAGAGGAACGTTTGTGGAGTTTCGCAGCAGCATGATCAACCTGTGCCCAGTGGGCAGGAGCTGTTCCCAGGCTGAACGCCAACAGTTTGCCGAGTTCGACAAGGTGAGCAAGGCTGCACGAGTTATACAGTTACTCAGAGGACATTGTAGTCAATGCAATTCAATACTCCCAGGCATTTACCTGGATTGTCTGTTAGCCCGTTCATTCTGACGCTATGTGTGTAAGGGATGCAGTATTTTGTGCTCAATAAAACCTGGAGCCCCCAGTGCTCATATGTCAAGAGAATAATCATCAAAGCATCAGTAATAGGGATATTCAGAGAATTGTGAGCTATGAGAAGTTCTGGATCATGCCAAGAGGGGATTAACTTTGTAATTAGTGTTCTTTGATGAAGGATTGGTATCTATATTGACAATGACTAGTTATTTGTTCTGTAATTTTCATTGGACATGTATATTGCAAGTGATTTGATATGTTTCGATGATGGTCACTCATGGACATCTTGAATCAGTCAACAAAGGCACTTCGCTAAGCAGAGTTGTGTCCCTTAGGCATGCAAGATATATAGTGTGTGTTGGACACCTGGTTTGCTCAGATTGAGAGAGATGTTAAACTTACCTCCCACCCCATTCTTCCTACCTCCATGTGTAAACACTGGGGCTGTGTATCAGCAAATATATAGTATTGTAACATATAGGGATGCCATGATGCATCAATACATCGATGCATTGATACTTTTTCTCAGATGATACAAGTATCGATACATTCAAAACTGTATCGATATTTAGTTTTGAAAGTATCAGTTTAAATATGTTTATGTATCGTTTACATTTTGTAATTGTATCATGATTTTTTGTTATGAGAGTAAAAAATGATTATTTTTCATGCACAAAGATGGGAAATTAGAACTTTTTAATCTCTGAGTATAAAAAATGTTGATCTTTTCATGGACAATTATAAAATATGAAATATTAATGTTCAAAATGTAACTACATTAACACAATAATGCTGCTAAAATAGGTATCGTGATACATATCGATTCATGAAACTTAAGTATCGTGACATCCCTAGTAACATATTCCGATTCAGGCACCCATATTACGATGTATAGGGAGCTTAACTTTTTTAAAGTGAGTGACACTGATTGTACATGCAGATGCATTTGTCTCCATCTGCGGAACTAAAAATACCTCTTATGGTTGTCATATCAGCTATCTCAATACACTGTATTAGGTTTAATAGTTTGGAATTCTGGGGTTTTTTTATATAGAATTAAGAGTATGTGAAGTATGAAATCTTGTCAATTAGTTATGAAGGGAAACAAAAGTTGAAAATTTAAAGTCTGTTTAGATTACAACTTAAACCGAAGAGGTAATTATGAAACCTTGTAATACTTTTTTTAATTAATGTACCGGTTCTCAGAAAGTGTATTATTATACCAGTATACCAGTGCAGTTCCAGTAATCACAATACTTTTGTTCGACAGCAAAACAATGTCCGGCAGAAGTTTGTTGATGTTCTGAGGGAAGAGTTCAAGGACTCCGGCCTGGTGTTTGCCATTGGAGGCCAGATCAGTATCGATGTGTTCCCACAGGGCTGGGACAAGAGGTTCTGTCTGCAGTTCCTGGAGAAGGATAACTTTAGAGAAATTCACTTCTTTGGAGACAAGACAATGAAGGTACGTGCGTCATCATGCTGGTTTATCTACTTTCAGTATGTCAGTGTTACAAGGACATCCCCACAGTTTTGGGACTCCAGAAAGAACAAGTCTTCAGCAGCCTATGAATATCATGCACAGTGACGTAATGGACCAGTGGGCAGGCTTTGTGACTTATCGTGTGTCATTGTACCCCCATTGAGAGAATTGCTGTTCACAATACTGATCATTAGATTGTCTGGTCCAGACTTGATTATGTACATACTTCCATCCATTGGCAGGAATTTAGATTTGTGTTGAACAACAGACAAACAGCATTACAGATTATGTAAGGGAGCTCACTCTGTTCATCACAAATTAAGTCTAAATGTTGTGTGCTTGTATAATTCCTCTCCTTCTCCTTCTGCTCTTGATTAACAGTAGCCTGTATTGTGTTTCACTATTTTACATGGAAATGTTTATCATGTGATTGTTCTATATGTGAAAAATATCATGAATTTTGTTTTTTATTTTCAAGGGAGGTAATGACCACGAAATCTTCTCCGACCCCAGAACGATCGGTCACACTGTCACAAGCCCTGAAGACACAAGGAAGCAAGTGTCAGAACTTATATTTAAATGATGTATAGGTCATGTGTCTGTCATGTCTCATGATGTCATGGAAGTAATGTCATGTGTGGAAGTCAGGTGGGTTGAAAACAAAGCTATAGCACTGGGTTGTACATGTCCATGTAGGGAATACACCCTGGGGGTTGGAGATCTAATGGAAAACATGTCAACAATGTGTTAGTTGTAATATTTTCAGCAAGTCCAGTCTTGACAAAGCTGAAACATTTTTCACACACAAAAATTTTCACAAGTAAATCGATGCAATGAAATTAAGTATTAGGGCTTTTTTGAGATTGTAATAATGAATCTGAAAAGACACTATTTCGGGGGGACATTATTTATTGATGGGAAGGAATAAAGGGAACACAAGTTTAGCAAGTGAATGTTAAAGTCATTACTTTCAAACGATGTGTTAATGGTATTTATAAATGCTACGAGGAACTGGGAGCTAGTTGGCACCATTTCAACGGGACTGGTGCCCAGGTTTCTCCTTTAAAATGGCAGGTTCTCATGTTTAGTTATGAAGTCTATTATTACATGTAACATTGCCTCGATGCTGTTTATGGTAAAAGATGTATAACATGCCTGTATAAACATACTTGAAGTAGCATACATATGGGCAGAAAAACAGAAAAAATTCTTGTGAAAATAAGTTCTTTTTCAATCTGACAAAATACTGCCAATAGCCGAATATGCAGAGGTGTTAGCATTTGAAAGCAACCCTGCTGAGTTTTTGAAACTCTTGAGAAAAATTATTATGAGTGCTATGAAACCTTTCAGTTTAACTGATCAGGTATTATTTCTCTGTTGGTTCACTCATGACATTTATTGATATTTATTTTGCATTCTTTTGTTTTGTGTTTTTACGAAATGTGATAGTGTCTTTCTATTTCATTTTATCCTCAAATTTACATTTATTGAACAATCCATCAAGCATTTCATGAAGTGCATTATTAACAGATTATTTGTGTCATGAAATTTCCATGAAGATCTGTCCTTGATCCTCCAGCCAGATTACTGTAGAATGTCATGGGGGGGCTTGAGTTCGGTCATCGTCACTGTTCCAGGAATGTATATGTGCTTTTACTATATTGTTATGTTGTCTGCACAGACAGGCCACATGTGGGAAATAAAATGGTTGTTTCATAACCTTTGTCTGTCATTTATTGGTAGAGGAAATTACAAAACATTCATTTGGGAGTTAACCCCGTAGATGCTAGAGGGACGTATGTCCTTCCTCTTCCAATAAAACTTTTAATGTAATGTACATGTTTTCTGTCCAGGGGTCCCATAGAAACTACTAAAGCAAAAATCAAACCCATGAGTACACAAAGAGTTTATTGCACCTACAGTCTACCACTAGCTTGTTTGACTGTATATACAGATCATTACACTATAACATAAAATGTACGATCATTCAATAGGTAACAATTTAACATAAAACTTCATGAATTGGTCATTAATGATTTCTCCAGTATTGTGTTATTGTGATTCCTCTGAAAGCAGAATTTCAGTGCAATGTGTGAACACTGTCTATTATCACAAATTCTACATCAAATTATGAAGAAAAAGCAAATTATTTTGTAGATAAATAGATTTATTATAATAGGAATTTCCGCAAGTACATGGAGTAAGATGACAGCAACAAAACAGTACTTTTAGATTCACAAATCATCTACCATATACACTGAAACACTTACCGAATTCTAAGTTTTGTAATACATGGCAAACAGCCTATAAAACAAATTAGGTATTTAGGTTCAAGATAATCAAACAACAGAGTCATTGTACAGGTCAGAATCTCATTCAGTGTGTGAGAATGGACTTGTGCACACAAGAAAACATCTTTTCTGACTTTGAGCTATAGTTGATTATATATTTCCATTGTATGCCAGTATATATGAACAGGCTTAGACGTTCTCCACCCATCGTTTATCTGATCAATACTAAAAGAACAAAGATTACAATGTCAGCTTCTGTTTACAGTATAAGGTAACAAATGATTATAATGGCATTTCCCAGCAAACCACAGGCATCACAAACAAATGTCTTAACTGGTTCTTCCACACCCACTAAGTTAGTGAATTGGATTTAATACCACTTTCAACAATAGTCAAGTTATTTTACAGTGTGTTCCCTTAGGGAGGAAAGCCTGAGGTGATGTAGGTCTCCCGATATTTACCTCCTCGGTAAGAACCACATGCACGAAGAGCACCTATGGTGCTGGCAAACCAACAATATAATCGGGGCGAATTAAATCATAGGTTTCGGGCATCCCTTAGGGACACAAATCAGCACAGCGAATTGTGGCAGCTCAGATAACTGAGCCACTCAAGACCCTCCCTTAGTGACAAAACTGATCAATGAAAACTATAATGAACATGAAAGGCAAAATATATTACCACAAAATTTACTGTACTAACCGAAAAAATATAATCCTGATGGACACTATGATTGTCCCTTGTTTATATATTGAGCAATTATCTGTGTTCACAAGCCAGTAGTTAAGAAACACTTGTGCAGCTTATATTCTTCCGTACAAATAAAATTTGAAAATCTGTTTCATCAACCTGCTTACACCGACAACGCAATGGTGGTGGGATAAAGAACAAATCTGTAGAAGAACAAACAACTGTTTAGTCAGGAAAATGAGATGTTTTACTCCGATGTTATACCTTTCTCAGTTAAGATCTGACATCTCTCCCATAGGAGGTTGCATCAGGTGAACTTTCATTGGCCAGTTACCACTGAGCTTCTCGGTGTTAAAAGAAAACATTCGGAACAGTTTGAAAATATCTAAACTCAATGCATCAAAAACAAAAGCCAGAAAATAAAGCTGTGCTTCTGGATGCTGTAAACACCAAGTTGTTTCATACCAGGTCTTTTTATGTGTGTTTACTTCTGTTATTTCAAGATGGTAAAGAAACGAGGCAAAGGGATTACTCACTGGTTAGCATGCAGAATGCTTCCATGTATATGACCACAGATAAGCCGAATTTAGTGCAATAAAGTTACTTCTGGAGGTTTGGTCACAGATTTAACATTTTAAAGAAAAAGATCTCATTTTGAGCAGATCCGTGTCTACGTGGACAGAACAGAAAGTACGTCTTCAGTGAACTACACATTTACAGCATGCTGTCATGGACCAACAAAATGTAAACACAACACGACACATTGCCTAAAACATATCTAATAACTCTGTGACCACACAGTACGGATTTAAGAAAATACACTGACATGAATATTCACAAGGCCTTACTGTATTGTTCTGTGAAGCCTGGCAAAGTGAAGACACTTTTCTTGAATGTAATGCACTAAAAATGTGTATCACAAATAACTGCATTAAAGAAAGGAAAAGATTACTCAAGACTATGCCTATGATTTAAGAAGCTGTTGTGGCTACGGGGCTTCTAAATTCAGTTAGCCCTCAGGAATATTGTTTAGTCTAATGTACAATACATGGAGTTTTCTGACATGGAATAATGCACTGGGGTGAAAAAACAACAGTAGATTCAAATTACGCTATTTACACAAGAACTACCAAACACAATCATCATACATCGCATACTGTATAAATCTCCAACCATATGTAATAAACTTGTAGTGTAAGTAGTGTTGGAATTACCCTAACTGCTGCCATTGAGTGACTACAAGACGGGTTGCCATGCATAATGCCGGACAAGTCAGGCTACGTGTGTTACTATGGTTACATACAGACTGGTTGGTTAGGATGCAAAATGCATCCATAGCTTTGCTGATTCACATACCAAGGATGACATCTCTGGCTACCCGTGTTACCATGGTTACAGACTGTCTGGTTAGCATGCATAATGCATCCATGGCTGTGATGATCCACATACTGAGGATAACAAGTCAGGCTACCTGTGTTACCATGGTTACATAAAGACCGTCAAAATACCAAGGATGACATCTCAGGCTGCCATATGTTGCCACGGTTACAGACTGTCTGGTATAAGCATGCATAATGCATCCATGGCTGTGCTGATCAACATACCAAGGATGACAACTGGTTACATATAGACTAGTACTTGTACTACAAAGGACAAAGTTTGGGGACAGTGATTTTTTTCTTACCACCAGATCTCACTCATTTCTGTAATACAAACTGTTCAATGTAGGCCAAAACAGGATTGACTGTTTTTTGTTTATTGTTTAATGCCCCACTCAACAATGTCCCATTTATATGACAGTGGACTGTACATAACAAAGTGTGGACCAGACAATCCACTGATTGACATTATGAGCATTGCTCTACACAACTGGGACATTTATCACGTCACAAATTATGTGAAGTGACAATATTCAAGGCCAGTATCAGTCCCCTAATTCTGGGGTCTACATTGAAATGTGCTGTTTTAATGCCACATGGAACTGCAAAATTCTTTATAGAAGGATAACAGTTGGACATTTTTCAGTTTCTCGTTATTTCAGGTTATGAACATTTCTTTTCAGAATGCAAATAATACAATACTGACTACTATAAACAGCAAGGGAATAAATTTTGTATAATGTTCTTAAAGCAATACTATAACAATATCATGGCAGGAGGCATCAAGAATGGCTTCACACACCTGTGTGAGACTTCATTCCCTGGTGTACTCCCAGGGACCATCACAAACACAAGTAACTGCTATGGGAGGAGGTATGTGTGCCAGACATCTTGGCCATTCATATCCTCTAATCAAGACATTACTTATGAAAGACAATACCCTGAAGATCTACCACAAAACAAGACAGGGGGATGTTCTGCTAACAGATTTCAGACAAATTTGTGTACTTCTTGAAAAACATGTCAAAGTTCTGATGCCATAATGGCTATTCATTATGATTAGACAAAATATGTATGTACAATCATTCAACTACTGTCTCAGCTGACAGACATTGTGGTTAGATGTCATCACCTAGCAACCAGACGCTGCCCTTACATTCATGTCAGGGCTTCAAAGGAAACGGTAAATAATGAAGGAACAGAAGGCTTTTTGACATATTTTTATGGTGTTTCTTTCAAATAGGAACATCAGCGATTTTTCTTCAAGGAAACAAATATGTATTCTAACACAGGAAGTGACAGAGCTTATTTGAAATCTTCAATCAATATCTGCTCCAAGTGTACATTTCGGCAGTGACAAAGTGTGTGAAGAGCCAATAAGTCCACATCAGGTGTGAGATTAGTTCTGTTGGTGTCATAAAATTCCCGAATGGTACCATGCATTTGATCACCAAGTTTAACATGGGACTTACCCTGTGACGTATTAGACAAGTCAAAACCTACAAATGTCAAAACGGGAGTTCAGGTAATATTCAAAAATTATGTACATGTATAAAACTACAAGGTATAAATAGTGCTTAGAGACACCATTGAAACATACAGATATTGAAGGGACAATAACCCTGTACAACACGGTAGGAAATAGGTGTTATAGGACATCACAGGAAGTGTGTGACGTCGAGGCAGTGGCAATTAGCATTAACCAAGCTATATGTCATGCAGTTAGGCTTTCATCTCAAGATTCAAATATGGTTTCTTTCCAATGACATCCTTTATTGGTCTTGGCATTCTAAGTAAAAACTTCCAAATGAAATGGTATTGAAGGCTGAGAAAAGGTTCAGCAAAATGATCTTGGATAAAAAATGTTCCTAATGTTGTATATAATGTCCATATTGTGAACTAAAGCAACATTGGAGTTCAGGACAGGGGGTCTGGCTGAAACATGGAAGGGACACAGTCGGCTGGATCCATGAGGCGTGTACTTAAATGCACCACCTGTCCATTATGAATGGAGACATATTTTCCAGTTTGAAACACAACATTTAACTGATATACAGGGAATCAACAGATGCTAAATGATCCACTTAGATAATCACAAGTCATAAGGAGTTCTCTAGTCTGTAATAATCATGGACTTCTTCTGGGGAAAAACATTGTACAATCGTGGATAATACTTTCTGGAAAAGGCAGGTTTTATTAAGTGAACAGAATACCAGACACCCTCCCCACCTCATGCCCAAAAGGTTGTCCTTGCAATCATTATTTTGTTGAAGACATGTCAATATACATCCTGAATGAAGTCACCATTTAATTCTGATACATCAACATGAATACTATGTTTCAAAATGGGTGTGTTAACACCATCTGGACCCATCCATGATAACAACATCTCTTCTTGCTGACAGAGCTGTGACAGAGCTCGATTTAGTGCTTTGTTACTTGCACTGGTGCAACACAATATTACAAAGTGCAACCTAGTTTTGAGTCTTAATTTGCACATGGTGCAAGTCATTTTTTGAAAAATAAATCAACAATAAATCTAACATGATAAGCACAAATATGTCAGCTCATTTTTCTTCTAAACTTTGAATAACTATGGTATTGAAACATTGCTATTCATATACCCGTTTCAGCTATTACAGCTCTTGTAAACAGGGATCAGGTGTGTCTGTGTTGCTATGGTTTCATAGGTACTACATCACGGAAATATTTTTATGTGCACAAAAACCTCTGACGTTTTAACATACTACGTTGCAACTGGAATTTGGCTTGTGCAACTAGGTTTTTATCTTAGGTTGCACCTGGTGCAAGTAGATTAACCTGTGTTAAATCGAGCCATGTGTGATAATTCACCCAAGTAGAGGTACATCTCCAATGTGCCTCGCTTACAGTAGCAGCAGCTGGTCATGTATCATCACATGTCTATATACACAATAAGGACATGTTCCAGGGTAGGACAACAAAATACTACATTCTGACAGTTTGCATTAGATACCACTAGTGGAGTTACAAACTATGCCGTGGTTGTGTGTCAAATCACTCTTCAGAAGCTCTTGATGTCCATATCTACCTAATGTTCAAGTGTTTGGTGCCTAGATTCAAATAGCGAATACAATAGATTTTAATGACGTAACATATGCTATATTTGGGATTACACTTTCTCATGTTACATTTGACCACTTTCTAAATGGCATTGTGTGAGCTTAATGACCTGAAGTAAATACTGATGTGGTGGGCATTCACTGCCAAGAACACAAGCCATAATTGTGGTATAGGTCTGAAGTTCTACTATCACTGACACCTTTAACATTATACATGCTACGACTGGTGGGCTAGTACCAAATTCTAGCCCTGTAGTTATTTTGAGGGTGAATCCTGCTTTCTATATGTATGGAATTCTGCCATGCAATGCCCTTACTATCAAGATACAGAATGTGTTCAGAGCTTATCGTCTCAGTCCTGGGTATGGAGGATCTGTTCAGAGGATCACTGATTTCATTTCATGAACATACATAATAAACAATAATTCTTGTGTCCAAACGCCCTAAATCCTTTTGTTATTAATTATATTCAAATTTTCCTTCTTCAGGAAGTGCTTACAAAGATTCAAATACTAATGTATCAGATATATTTCAGTCAAGTGACTTATTACTGAAAAGTATGAATACATACGTCTATTTTCAGTGCAATACATTTCTAACAAAGTAATCATCCTCATCATCTTCTCTAGCATATTCCACACAATAACATCAGGTGTTAACTGGGAATCAGTTTCTAGGAAAGTAGGTTTCCTTCTTGTTTCTTTGGTTACTATGTCTCTTAGGCAACAGAGGCCGCTGCAACCCATTCTGATTGACAAGCCAGTGATGCTTCTACTGAGCAGGCGAGTCCCATCTCTCGTGAGAGACGCCTGGCTTCAGGTGAGTGATCTTCACATGCACAGCTTGGATCTTCTCATTTCGGGGAGGAATCAGAACTGTCTTGTAGGTCACCTCATCACCCTCTTTTGGAACATATTCACCATCAATGCTGAAACAGAAATTGTAGGAAATGTTTATCTTTGACTGAGCATGCTTGATGTTCAAAGCTACCTGAGCAATATTTCAGTTACATGCAAATCCACTATGACCTTTAGAATCCTGCTTTCTGTTAGGTAGGTCCACAAGGTGCTCCACTAGAAACTACATTTGTCCATGATCCTGCTGATGACCGCAATACCACGAAAGAAAATATATATCGAGAAACATTTTTTCATAAACCAAGCTGTGTGGGAATTTCAAGTTCCAGTGTTGATCTGACTCCATTGTCACCACATTTCCCGTAGTAAACTTGATAATAAACAAATACATGTCTTGTAAAATTCAGTAACCTAAATACAACTTCACATCTTTTTTGTTATTGCTTCAGAAGAAAATAAGGAGACCAAAAAAATGTTCTATTTTAACGTTTACAACTATATGTCTTAAATACGAAATCCAACACTATTGCAATTGATTTCATTTTAAATTTAATGACCACTAACTTTGCCTTTTTTAGTAAAAGCTGACCTAATGCATCAGCTGGTCAGGCTTTATGGTAGTGAATACAGAAACAGTTAAATATTGAAGATGTACACACAAAACAAGGCAGTATGATTCAAACATGATTACTGCTCACACATCACAAACACCAAGGAGATCTTCAGATTGTGACCACAGAGCAGAATAGATTTAATACACTCTGAAAGACTGCCTGACTGAGTTTGGTTTTACGCCACTTTTAGCAATATTCCAGCAATATCACGGTGGGGGACACCAGAAATGGGCTTCACTCAGTTTACCCATGTAGGGATTCGAACCCGGGTCTTCGGCGTGACGAGCCAACGCTTTAACCACTAGACTACCCCACCGCCCCCACTCTGAAAGAAGAACGATGAGAGATAATATGTTACATACTCTGATATGTGTACAAATAAGGCTTCCGATCCATCCTGCGGTTGAATAAACCCGTGGCCTATCTGGCGACAAAATGTCTTCACTGTTCCATGAAATAATGGCCCTTTCTCTGCCCTCTCAGACCTGAAATTCATAAAACGCACATATAGACTTAAAACAATAAACAGTTTTACAATTAATAGTCCCATATTCTTTATTTCCAGTGTTAGTAATTTAGCAGCTTGAAAAACATACAGTTACTATCATGTTCCGTAGATATTCATCACACCAATGACAACAGGGTAGATAACAGTTTTGTCCAACCACAAGTGAGGTGAGGTGAAATTGGGTTTAACGTTGTGCTTGAGAATATTTCGCTCATATGACGAAGTGCATGCGTGTGTATTTGTATGTGCGGCTGCTTGTACTAGCCCAGACTTAAGCTGGTTTTATAGTGCTAGCTCACTGAGATACCATGCTGCAGTGAAGCAAGAATACTTCACTCAGACACATTATACTGACTCCGAGCCGACCAGTCCTTGTACCCATTAATGCCGAGCGCCAGGCAGGGACCAGCAAGTACCATGTTTTAATGTCTTTTGGTATGACGCGGCCGGGGATCGAACCCGCGACCTTCCGCTCTCCGGGCGGACGCTCTAACCACTACACCACGGAGGCGGTCCAACCTTAAGTAAGCAGTGGATCACAATCTGTTGTGACATATATCCTTGACCCAATTGTCACATTGCATGATATCGCTTTATTTTGAGACATGACAAGAACAGCCATCAAATCAAATTTCTGTCCCCATTAAAGCCAACAGCAACAACATCAGTACACGAGTCACCTTGTTGCAAGCCATATAAATATATCTTGAAGCATAAACATAAATAACTCCATTACCCTATCTTCATACACCAGAAAACATGTTTATCAGCAAAAAAGAGCATTCATTATTATACAATGGAGATTTAATACACTAGATAATCAACAATGTGACTGATCAAGCTAATATTCTTGCTGTGTAAATATAATCTTGTCTGATTGGCTCATTAAAGAACACTGATCCACCATCAAGGTGTCTAATGGCACACCAATTCAGCCATACCTCGGATCTGATATTCCCCGGCAAACAGCTAATTCACTTAATACTGTTAATCACACTGACACACATAGGAGCTAGATAGACGAACTTGCTTGTTTTGATCTGTTACTAGAAGATACTAGTATACGTGGAGTTAGTTCCTGGGAATTGTCCACCACAGTTTGTCTGTGTGTACAGATATTTTTGCAGGGACAGCACTGCAACGGAATGCTTATGATGCCAATACCCAGAAAGACTTTTCTGACATATTATAGTTCTCCAGCAAAACTTAAAATATATGATGCCCATGTCCATGTTATTTCCTTAAATTTGGAACATGATTTCAGTGAGTGGGTGAGTGAGTTAAGTTTTATGTCACTTTCAGCAATATTTCAGCAATATTCCAGCAATATCACGGCGGGAACACCAGAAAAGAGGTTCACATACTGAACCCATGTGAGGAATCAAACTCGGGTCTTCGGTGCGACAAGTAAATGCTTTAACCACTGGGCTACCTCACCGCCCCCTGTATAACTGAGGCCAATGTGCTGTGTTGCAGAGTGTAGTACCAGAATGTTTTACTCAGATTAATCTGTCACTGACAGCATGCATCCATTGTGTGAATAAGTGAATGCTCATTAAAACCACACTCAGCTATACCCCAGCTGTATCATGAGGACGGTATATAATTCTGTCCGGACGAGGCAAACAAGTAACCAGGGATTTACTGGAGTCATGTATTTGAGGGTCTCTGGGACTCATACTCTTAATTATTGGGGGTCCTGGACAACAAAATGGGGGTCCCAGACACTTAAATATTATTATTAAATCTGTTATTGTATTGTGTATCATGATCATCGCATTGTTACAGTAATTAAATTGCAAATGATACCATAACCCAGCTGGTAGCAAACTCAGTAATAACTGATTGTTACTTGATTGGAATTTTAAAAAAAAGTATTTGGACTTTTTCTGCGTCCCTGTGGATGCACTAATAAATTTTGTTGCATCCATATTTATGCATATAGGACACAGGAATTCGTGTTCTGTAAATCCTTGAGTAACCGAGCAACATTCCACACAACAGGGTTCAAGTGCCATGCAATCAACAAAACCATCCAACAAGATCACTGACATGCTGGGCTACTTCATCCTCAATCATCAAGTGAAACACTTCTCCCTCATATAATGTTGAAACACACTGGACTAATTTGTTGTCATGATCACAGCTTCACATAGACACTGACATCCAAACATATCTGTTCCTTCCCCAGAAACTCTCTCACACAAGATCTGAATAATTTTTTTTTTTTTAAAGTGAGTGAGTGAGTTAATATTTATCGTCACATTGGCAATATTTCGGCCATATCGTGATGAGAACAATTAATTATCAGTTAAGATCAATAAGATTAGGAGCTATAAAACTGTTTACTATAAACAGTAAAACTACTAGTGTATCACAGATACAGATATAAACCTAGCATGTAACTAACACTTATACTATAATGCAAGACAATACAATATAGAAACGGGCTATAGATGACCAGCAACTGAAGGTAGATGACCATACTAGAGACCATGGGGACTTACAGTACTTTGGCTACCTGCATAGACTCTAAGCGGATTTATATCATCCCTTCAGCCGTTGGTGATTGTAGTTAAATTTAGCCATAACTTAAAAACACAAGAATTCTGCGCTTTAAAAATTCGTAAGTTATATTTACCTAGAATGTTTAGGGACTTACGTACCCCCACAGGAGGACAATCATTTTACAATACTTCAACCCCCTGTGAGGATACAGACACTAACAATTTCAGCTGCTAATCAAATTACTACTAATAAAATATGTATCTATTTACAAGTCTTTTATCAAAATTTATGTAACAATTCAATTTCTTTTAAAAATGCAATAATTAAGTGATAATTGACGTTAAACAGATCCTGAACTGTTTTGACATTGAAATATTTATCCCTTGTGATGGAAAAATCAATGCAGTCAAGCAGTACATGCTTGACCGTGATTCTCTCACCACAAGGGATGCAACATGGAGGATCTTCACCTTTCAATAAATACGTTTGTTTGATAGCACTGGGTACTGATCATGACAAATGGACATAGGATACACTGGATTAACCATGGCAACTGCATCCAATGTGAAGACAGAAAACTGGTTATAAGATGACTTTCACCGACTCACCATATTTGCTTTCTTTTGGACTATAACCGATAACCACCAACTCTAGGTATGGTTTTGGATCAACTCATGACTGAACATTTTCCTTGTTATTTAATTTTATACATGTAAGCAATGCATTGATACAAAACAAATTGAAACTTTACTGAATCTACAAATCATTAACTACTCTGCACTAACCATATTATCGGGACATTTTCCTATTTTACAAACTAACGTTTTTGACTCAAATTAAGATCCTTGATCACATATATGTCTATAACACCCTGGCTGATTGCAAAGAACATAACAAAATCTCATCCAATCATAAGGCAAGTCATTGAAAATCTCTTCAAAATGCTGCATATCTCCAGTACAGAGACAGGACATTTTCTATATATTAATACTATTTAATGGCAATTGATCCACTGTATCTCAATATTTTGGTTTTTTTGAGAATGGCAGTTTCGAAGTGGCATAAAGCATAGCAGTACATAATCACTGTAATGTTGCACAAAAGAAATACCAAAATACTCTTCAAAATGTTAATGGCATTATTCTGCAATACAAACCAGTATACAAAATTCTAAAATTTAATCACTGATATTTATTTCAACAACAGATACGCCTGACTCATTTTTAATCAGCCATCATGATACAGCTTGAATATTACTGCCTCAAAAAGAAGTCATTCATACAAATATACACACACACAGACTCGCACTGTTTGTTCCATTACAAGTTTTAGTATTACATTAGTAATTTTACTGAACAGCCTGATTTCCAATTTACCAAATGAGTGTTTCCAGATATGTTCGTGGAAGTTCTTTTACTGCAAATGTCATGGTAACCATTGGAAATAGACAAAAGGACACATGACACAAACATGTCCCTGAATTGCAGTCGAGCTTTTCTGTCAAATATTCAAGGGCTTTGCTGCCATGCCCTCCACAAACTGTCCAAGCAAGTTCAAGTGTACTGAAACATAAGGACAGTGCTGTCAAATCTGATGGAAGCCTGACATATGATAATTGTACAAAACAGAGAAAGCCTGTCCAGTTTAATCAATTCCTGGATGAGCGGCTCAACTGGTATAGAAGGCCATAAGTCCCTGGAGCTGAATTACTACCTCTTGTGTTATTATTGAGCCTTCTCTTCTGGCTTAACATATTTGCCCAGAGACAAGACAGATAGGTTTGTTCTGGGGTCAAGCAAAGACATCTCAAGCAGCTAACCGCCAACAGTAACACTGCCATCTTGATGGATTACAATAGGCCTAAATTACACACTTTACACCTTCACCTGGAGATCATCAACGCTAATACGGAATCAATATGGACTTGCAAATCGGTACAAGAAAACTGCTTCAGGAAAAACTTCCTTGTTGAGCCTTGTAATTATAGCCATAAGATTGGACAGATTTACCACAAAACATTTTGTTGTTTTTTATGTTTATGAAAGCTTTCTCTCAGCACATTATCTGAATGATGGTGCAATGAATTATTAAAATGCATTTTGTATTAATACAAATACAAGTAAATTAGTTAATACAATGGAGACGTATTTGGTGAACAGTAAAGGGTATTGTATTTTTGGTATAGCACTGAAACATTTACACTGCAGGTAACTGAGTGAGTTTACTCTTATGTCTCTTTCAGCATTATTTCAGCAATATCAGGGTAGAGACACCAAAAGGGTTTCACACACTGTACCCATGTGGCGAATCGAACCCAGGTCTTCGGCGTGACAAGGGAATACTTTAACCACTAGGTTACCCCAAAGTGCATATGCATATAAAGTCAACCTTGTCACGTCACAATCATATTATTTAGGGTTTATACCCAGGAATAGCCATAATTACGCTGTTAAGCATCACAACACAAAC